AATGATATAGCTTAAGCTTTTCAAAACAAAGAAAACATTGAAAAAACAAAACAAAAAAAACTATCGCATTCTCAAGGGCAATGTATACCAGCAATAGGACACAAGTGCACTGTACCACTCCAACCACGTCTGGTTGCAAATATAGGGGTGCAAATACAGCATAGAACAGGGGTGGGCATTTATTTTGGGCAGAGGGCCGCTTACTGAGTTTCGGCAAGCCATTGAGGGCCACATGACAGGCAGCCCAGGGCAGATTAATATTAATTTTCTAAATTTTTTAGGGGCCCCACGGGCCAGATAGAATGGCCTGGCGGGCTGCATCCAGCCCCCAGGCTGCATTTTGCCCACCCCTGGCACAGAACATCCCATACTCTGCTACTAGCACTTATCTTTAAAGCTTTTGGAACTCACTCTTCCAGTCGCCTAGTCTCATGCCCCATGGCTTCTCCCTTAAGACCTGACTCCTAACTGAACTAAGTCTGCCATGGAGTCAGTGTCTCTAGACTCCCCTGGAGCTAGGGCTGGTATTCCTTTGCATGGAAAATTTGTGATTTTATGTTCCAAATCAGAACAAAAACAAGTCCCAGAATCCTCTAAGAACAAGAATCACTTCTTTCCACCTATCTCTAGTTAGAGATAATCATGAGGCATTGTGAGCGAGACTCAAAACTAGATCATTAAAACTAAGATGTTTTTGTCTTTGTCTAGTAACAACCTACCGTTGTGATCATGCTCTGTACCTTCATACCTGTGGCCAAGGGTGATGGCCCGTTCTATTTATTTATGCCATGGACCAAGGATAGACTACATGCGTGCTATGCTAAAAAAAAGGGGAAAAAAATTACCCTGCTTAATTGCAATGCCTTTGGCTGAATAAGGAACATCAATACGATGCTCTAACAGGCTCATTTGGTTCAGGTCACCTCAAAATTCTTACCTTCTAGAGCTTCGACATCATTTTTAAACACCTGTTGTCGCGTTCTGTGCAAAGTTTTAAACAGCTGCAAAACCTGCTAACAAAAACATAAGTCAGTGACAGATGCATGTTGTTTATAAAAGTATTTCTTAGATAAAACTTCTTATAGCTAGAAGTTGTTTTGTCTGCTTTCTCTCATCTTTTCTACAGCAAGCTGATGTAGTATCAGTCTGTGAAAAAATGTTGACTTAATTCTTCATCAGATATTGCACAGATAAAACAGGTGCACAGAACTCAGGAGGAATGGAAGTTTTTTTATTTCTTAATTAATAATTCAAGAGAAAAGAAATATTGCAGATTCTATTTCTAGTTATTTTTCTGTGAATGGAGGTCCCAGTCCCACAAAGGGATGCATACAGAAACACTCATGCTTCTAGATAACAAAATTTACAGGATTGTGGTTTACAAGCCACTTTAGTAAGTAAATGTCATGAGTATTATCAGACCCTAGATTTGCATTAAACATTTGATATCATACAACCAAAACAACACAAATAAAATCTTTCAGTATTTGTGAAATCTTGGCAACTGTAACAAATTTACAGAACAGAATCACAAAACTGAGTCCATCAGAGGATCTGAAATATCAGAGTAGAATTATTTTTTGTTGTAACATGTTTAAGACTCATACAGAGTTCACTTCTGACAATAAGGCAATCATTACTAGGCAAGTGCTGATTAGAGGGACTATAAAGTATGATGTAGGGTGTACACTTCAATAGTAGTATAAAAGTGGTTATTAATAAAAGCAATATTTACAATTGCTTTATGAAGAATATGGTATCTGACATGCACACAATTTAATTGCTTATTTAAGAAACTTCCATGCTAATCAAAGACATTCCTATGAAATCTCAGCTTTCTGTCAACTGCTGATGGGCATCAAAGTACAAAAAAGAGGATTATACATCCTCAGCAATAAAATCTTCTTACCATCAAGTATGTTTATATTGACTCTTAGATGTATATTAATAAATTCTAATTTTACTTAAGATTTCATATACAGATCTTTCAAAATAAAGTTAGGTATTGACTTATGCCTTGCATAAAGATTGGTAAAATCTAACTGCAAGATATAAACAATAGATATACGTATAGGAACCACTGCCCAAAAGAAAAACAAACAAAGTGTGTCTTCTCAAAGAATGGGATGCCTTCCATTTGTACAAACAACCAGTCTGGTTTAAGACTTGCTCTTTACCTTGAGAATAAAAACTGTGCGACTTATATTTCGGTGTGTAGAAGACTATGAGGCTATTCTTTTTTTTTTTTCAGGATATCCCAAAAACAAATGATACTTAGGATGTATTAACAAATTTGTGAAGTTATAAAAGGACAGCTTTTCATTGTTTATTTGGAAAAAAAACCCTTAATTTTAAACTCCTAGGAAAATTCTAGAAATATTATTGAAATCACATTATTTTTATAAATATGCTGAAGTCTTCCTTCTTCAAATGTTAAGGAAAGCATATACAGAACAATTTCCAAACAATATAAGTTATGTTATTTCTAACACATTTCCATTTAAAGATGACAAACAGTGCTGGCCCTCAAATGCTTACAATTGCACAAACCACTTCGGAAATGAATATTTGCGAATACTTTGTATCCAAAGACAAGCTTCTCTCTAATAACTGCCCAGTATTATGGTTAAATGAATAATGGAATGCTTTATGTACAAAAACGTCAAGGTCATGGTAATTTAAGAAGCTATGCAAGTGAAAAAATAATTCATATTAATTAGTTCTCTTTCAGTGCTTAAGCAACTAATTACCAGTCAAGTACACAAAAATCTCTCCAAGGAGTATAAGAAGAAACGATAGTAGCTTCTTTGATAATGATTTAAATTTCAAGACTTCAGTAAAGAATTAAGTCCACAAACAACATACACATAAGCTGGGGATGCTACTAAAACTATCCCATGAAGTGATCAGTCAAAAAAGATAATGATAGTGGTGACTAGAATTTAGCCAAGACATTAAAGGAGGTATACATATCACCTTCAACAAGACCAATACATTCTTACTCCTCAACTTTTATGCCGGGGTGGGCAAAATGACCTGCAGGCTGGATTTGGCCCACCAAGGGATTTTATGCAGCCTGCAATGGGTCCTTTGGCCCCACCCACCCCAGGCGTGAGGGGCAGCCCAGGCCGTGCGTGGTGTGTGTAGCTAGTCCCACCCACCATGGGTGCACAGCAGGACTGGGGCAGCACAGCAGCCAGACTCCACTTCCTGGAAGCCCTGATGGTGGTGGCTCCCAGCTGCCACAGCCAGCGTCATTGCCACTAGACCCAACTCTATTGCCTGGGCACCCTGGCCCACTTGCACCATACCCACCGCCCGGGGTCCTGGACAGAGTGGGTGGGCGGGCAGAGTCTCCAGGAAGAGTGGCCCAGGACACCTGCAAGCAGGCTGTTCTGAGCTGGGTGGACGGGATGGAGTTACAGGTGGGTGAGGAGTGGCATCCACGAGTGGGACAGGCAGGCGCGGCTGGGATCACAAAGCAGTGACAGCACGGTGCCAGGGCAGAGGTGCAATCTGCTCCCTGCATGACAGACTGTGACTGGCCTAAACCTGGTGGGGAGTGGAGCACATGCCTGTGCTGCCCCCACCCCAGCACGCATGCACATGGATAACCCCAGTATAGCACGGCTGCGGGGCGGTGCAGCTCAGAGCAATCTGGCACTGCCTGGCTGCTCTGCTCTGCTCTGCAGCCCCACTGTACTGGGATTGTCCTTAGGCCCCTGTGCTGGGGCGAGGACAGCAGGGGCTGGGTCATGAGCTCTGCCTCCCCCCCAGATCAGCCCAGTCATGATCTTCTTTGGTTAGTTTATAAGGTGCAAATATACCCTGCCTTCTACTTAACTGTGTAACACAACGTGAGCCCGCTCTGGTGCCCACACTAGGAAATGCCTGTCAGACACATATCAGCTAATGAAGCAATGCTCAACCTTACAGCTTTGCTGGCTAGATGAGGGGCTTGAGGCAGATCTGCAGGCAGGATCATAGGCCCTGGTGCTATCCCTTCCTACCACACTTGGGCCCCAGGGGCCCGCCCCTCCCACGCACAGGGGTTGGTCCCTGGGGCCCCGGCCTACCCCAGCCCCCTGCGGACGGGGGCGGGGGCTCCCCACGCGTCTGGAAAGCAGGCGTGAGGAGGAGGAGGTGGGTGACACGGCCTCGAGCGAAGGCGGCCATGCTCAGTCTTTCCTCACAGGCCGCACGGACGGACCCTCTGCGGGGCCTGGATCGTGGTCCCGATCCGGCTCCCGGGAGGAACGGCTCGGCCCGGCCACGCCCAAGGGAGGGGGCGCGGCCCAGCTCTGGCTGCGCCAGTCTTGGGTTGGCTCCATTACCCCCAAGGCTTCAAGCCCCTTGACCTTCGTCCGAGACTCCATGCCCGCGGCTGGCGCCCCGCCCGCGCGGAGGCCACGCCCACTCCGCCCGCCTCGCTCCTAGACAACCAGTGGGAAGGCCCGGCTGGAAGCCCCGCCCCTCCCGCTGTTGTTAGCCTGCTCTAAGGGGGGAAAACGTTGCTCTCATTAAAGCGTTCCGTGCGGCTCCCCCGGGGGAAGGGCGACTTCCGGGTGTGGGGGGTGGTTTCCGCCGGACGGAACGCTGCTCCAGCCCTGTTGGTTCCGGACCCTGAGGCGGGGACGCGGAGTGCCCCGGTTTTCTGCCAGAGAGGCCCGGTCCTGCGCTGCCAGTGGGTGACTCCTGCAGCCCCAGCTCCGCTGGGCTCCTCCAGTCTGCTCAGCCCCAGGCTTTAACACCATGTGGCAGGCCCTCAGAAAGCAGAGGAGCTTAGCCCTGCTTAGCTGCATCAGGGCTCAGGCCAAGGCTGGCTGGGAGGTTGTGCCCAAAGCTGTGCTTCAAAGGCTCTGCAGAGCCTGCACCTCCTGGGGCTTCACACCTCCTCATAAGGGAAAAAACAGATAGCTCTCATTTTCCCAAGACTTTAAAGGATTTGTTTAAAGGTCTGTAGGACTGGTAGGTTCTGAAAACCACCAGGCAATGACTGGCCTGAAGAAGGAGAGAGAGGTGGTTATCCATGTTAGTCTGAAATCAGGTGGAAGGCAGGGCAGAGATGCACCTGTATAGTGATGGCTTTTCAGTTCTTGAAGGCTGAAGAGATGAGCTCTCAGTGTCAGGCCTTTCATGGGAAAGCCATCCATTTCCAGCTAACAAACAGTTTTACGTTGTGCAGATGCTGTGGCATTTTGGGTTTTTTTTTTTTAGCTGCCTTGCCAGCATTTAACTGTGTCTAAACTCACTCCCCATTTCTTAAGAAATTGCCAACATCTGGGTAATTAGGGCATATTAAAGCCAATTAGGAAGGAGTTTCTTATATATTTATTTTTTTTAGCAAACACCTCACCTGCATACATATGTTTCCCCTCCAGGAGAGCACATTTAGATCTGCACTGAAGAACCTCAACGTTGCTGTATTTTTGGTTTCCATAGAAACTTGGTCCAAATTTTTCCCCACCCTAATATAAGACTAAAACCCCCAACTCTTTGGCCAACTTCAAAAGGTTTTATATCCACTCATGCTAGAGTCTTGAGGATGCATTTATCTATGGATATCAAAGGTGTTGCTTGTTTGTTTCAGATTTCTCTTTAGTAAAATTTCTAAAAGTGATTCTTGGTTGTTCTTGAACCAGTGCTGAGCTTTGGCCCCTCCATTCAAAAAGGATTTAACAAATGGGCAGGTTCCAGGATACTTCTGGGGGTGGAAAAGCCTTCCAGGAAGACAGGATTAAAGCAAAAGAGTTATTTACTTTAGGAAAAAAGATGAGTAGAAAGAGACAGAATAAAAGTATGTTTAAATAGCATAGCTTGGGACTTTTTTTTTCTTTGACTCATCAAACAAGAACAATGAAACAGAAAAGTAAGCATTTCAAAATGAATACATTTGGCTTTGGTACTTATATGACACCATCACTTATGTATCTGAGCACCTCACATTCTTTACTGTGTTTTTCCTTGCAGCATTCACAAAAAGCATGAAAGTGCTATTATCTTACAGATGGAGAACTGAAAGACAGAGATCAAGGCCAAGATTTCATTGAAAATGCAATGTCTGCTTATCTCTGAAGACATGGGCCTAAATGATTTTACCGTAAGTAACAAAGGAAAGCTGTGGAAGGAATGTTACATTGCATGACATTATGTTAACATTACAAAAAAATATTTTATTTATTACTATTGTGCCTTGGAGCCTTAGTTATGTGTAGCACTGTACTGTGCTGGGTGCTGTACAAATATTTAACAAAAGGATGATCCCTGTACATTTACTAACTCAATGTAAGACCAGACAAAACAATGTCAGGGTACAAAAAGTAATGAGTTAATGTTTGTCAGCGTGATCAGCAGTGATATTGGTGCACCAGTGGCCTAACTTGTCAATTTTTATAAGTATCGTGGTTTTATCAGAGAATGTTATGGAAGGACTTCATGGTTTTGTAGGAGCTATTCCTAGGTATGAGGTACCAGTACAGGAGAAAACACACACATTTTTTAAAATGTAATTAGTGGCTAATGGAGGCTGGCATCATGGACCAATAGTAGGTAAATTAACAGGTCAATATTGATTGCAGATAACCAAGATACAAGATAATGGAAGGGTGGAGTAAAGTTGAACTGCATGGATAGGTAGAAAAGGCTGTTTATTAGTCAGTTATGCGAAAAAAAATTGGCAAGATTTAGAGAAAAAAGAAGGTCATATACACTCTGGCCCATTGGTCTATCCTTCGTACAGTAATACATAATGAGACTGGAACTCACTGACCTTGGATGTCATTGAGCCCAAGTATTCAAAGTTGAGAGGCAGTGGACAGTTATCTAGCTATTAATAATGTAACAAATTATAATCTTGAAAATAGAGTTTTGGAGAGGATATAAATGACAATGGTCATAGAATTAAGCTAATATTCCACTTTTAAAGGTAAGGACAAGATTTTCATAGGGAGGCAGGTTATCTAAGATCTGCTTGCAGTGGAGTTTTCTTGCATCATTCTCTGGAGTATCTAATGGCGTTCACTATTAAAAGCAGCAGATGGATGGACCACAGCTCAATTTATACACCAATATGTAAGTTCCTGTTTTCTTATGCTAAGACAGGGATGAACTATAACCTTGACCTGGAATGCCTGCACTGAGAGTGATAGAACAATGTAGTTACCACCTGAACAATTTATTTTTCTGCTTGAGTATACTGACTAGTCCCATTCCTCCAACCACGGAAGTATCCAGATCCAGCCCATTGCCAGATTGAGGCCTATAAAGGAAGTCCATAGCAGTTGTCATGGTGCTGATGTGAACAACTTTTCACTGAGAAGAGAAAGTGATATTGACAGGTCATTTTATATGTAGCACCAAACAGCGATAAGATAATTATCCAACAATCGTGGATATAGATCTGACTGAAAGGTAAAAGGCTCAGTCATTTCATTCATATGTGATCTAAGCCTGGAAAATGTGACCTTATCTTTTGGGAAGTGGAAGGTTATCAATTTTCTCCTTCCCCCGTTAAAGCCCCTGGATGCGTGCAAGTCTGATTAAAGGAAGGATTACACATGAATCTGAGGGTCTCTTACTTGGATTTTCATTCACATATACACATTGTAATTTAGAGATTTAATTTCTTTAACAGAAACAGATCATTTCCTCAACTGTATCAAACTTTACGATTCATAAGACCTTCAAGGTTTTACTTATGATCCCATCTGCCTGGGTGCTGCTGCCGCCACTGCTGCTCACAGTGGGCATACAGGTCCGGGACAGGTGGAGGTCAGTGCTGTACATGTACATCCCCACCAGTCTTCATGGGGCTACGGCTGGCAGCAGCAACTGGAAGGAGCTGCTCCAGCCCCACTACGTGCCCTGGGGTAGTGGGACTTGCCGTGGGCCCAACAGCACCTGGGCCAGGTGGGACTGAGGGACCTGCTGCAGGCCAGTCAAAGTCTGTATCTAGGCTGGATCTGGTCCATGGGCTATATTTTGCCTAACCCTTGGGTTCAGTGCTCTTAGCTAGCTTGGTGGTTAGAAGACAAGCCAGTTTGCAGAATGACTAAAAGGTCATTGTCCACACATCTTTTTCCTCAACATCTAATTTCCATGAAAGTAACGGTGGGAACTTTCTTTTGTTGCCTTGTTGCAGGTAGGACTGCTATGGGTCTGCTTAGTCAGATAAAGCTGCTCAGAGGACAAACACATTACACAAGTGCAAGTCTTTGGACAGACATGCCCGGAAAGTTTGGGGACAGCTCAAGAGAAGATGAATAGTTCATAAATATGCAGAGTCATCATTAGTTGGTTTGCATGGAGTAGAAGCCATGGTCTGCGTGATAGCTAGACCAGAAGCTATACAGGTTTGTGTGCTGGAATAATGCTGTTCACTTTATTCACATGAATGATTCCACTGAAGAAAGTGGGAAGTCTGCATGAGCACAGAGGATCCACCCACATAGAGTCAATTTCAGCATTGGGCCTTTAGAACATCCTACTCTTGATCATTGTAGAAACCTCCCTACAGCAGTGTGAGTTCCACTACAGACTTAAAAATAGCATATAACCCCTGGGCTATATAATTAAATATGAAATATGTCACTTCACCAATGAGTACAGCACTTTGAAAAAAAGTATTCATATTTCATAAATTTCATAGACATTAGGGCTGGAAGGGACCTCGGAAGATCATTGAGTCCAGCCCCCTGCCCCATGGGCAGGAAGTCAGCTAGGATCAAAGGATTCCAGCAAAATAAGCATCCAAACACTTCTTAAAAGAGTCCAGAGTAGGTGCTTGCACCACCTCTGGAGGGAGTCTATTCCAGGCCTTGGGGGCTTGGACAGTAAAGTTTTTCCTTATGTCCAGCCTAAAATGGTCTTGGAGGAGTTTGTGACTGTTGAACCTTGTCATCCCTTGGGGCACTCTGGTGAACAGGCATTCCCCCAGATCATGATGCACACCCCTTATATACTTATAGGCTGCCACTAGGTCACCTGAGCCTGCTTTTGCAGGCTGAAGAGTCCCGTGGCTCTCAGCCTTTCTTCGTAAGGCTCTTGCCCTCTGATCATGTGTGTGGCTCTCCTCTGGACTCTCAATCTTCTCCACAGTCTTCTTGAATTGTGGAGCCCAGAATTGGATGCAGTACTTCAATTACCACTGAAATGCTGTTTAAGAGATTCCTAGAACTAGTTTGAGTTGTGCTATAAAAGCTTATTTTAATAAAAGCTAAAGATTGTTCCTGAAATGTGAGTTTTTTTAGCTCAAAGGACTAGGCTTACAAAGTTACAGACATAAATTCTTGCAGGATCATGCTCAACATTAGGAGCCAGATTTGATTTGACAGTATTAACAGCATTTCTCTATTACATGGATCTCTTCGCTGTTGTCTCTTTATCAATTAAAAGACAAATAAAGGGCCAGTTCTTGCAACTGCAGCCAGAGAGAGAGAGAGAATCTGTGCCTAGATAGAATGGCATTAAAATCAGTGGGGCTCACGTGTCCACCTCTACAAATGGAAGTGTATTAAAGTCAATAGGGTTTCACACATGCAGTATGACTATTTTCTTTTCAGATGAAAAGTTTCAGGCTGTTTAGGTCCAAATGTCACAGTTTTGAAAGAGAAAAATAGAAAACCATTAAAACCTGTAGAAGATAGAAAACGGTTAAAATCAAATGAATGCAAACTGCATTTTGTTCGATTTTAAATATGCCACTGAGGTGTTTACAACCCAAATCTTGCTGCAGAGTACTAGTGCATAAATTAAACCTCAGAACCATGCCAAGTGAAAGGTGCCTTTCTCTGCCCTTGCCTTCTCTAGCCTAAATGCTACGGCAACAGATAATTTAAAAACAAATAGAACCAAGACAATACCTTACCAAAACCAAATGTTGTGCCACCCTGGCTCCCCATATGATGTAGAAAGATAATTAGATGCCTTGTGAGACAATTGAGGACCAGCTGCCTAAACCAGCCAGTAAAACAGACAGTTATTTGCATTAAATCCCTTTCTGGGGTTTACATGTTTAGGGATTTATATGTTGAGCAGCCTGAAACTCTTTTCTGGATCTAGGTGTTTCAATTGGCTATTTAAAAAGCAAAACAAGGGCTCACACCTTTCTTATAAAACAGTGGCAGTGTTGCCCTTCTCTACAGTAGCTCAATAGTTAAGACTATTCACTCAGGACATGGGAGACCTGGGTTCTTTGCTTTTTCAGACCTGAGAGGATTCAAACACACATCCCAGAGAAGTGCCTTAATCAGCCCAACATAGCTGGTCCAAGGTGGGAGGCTCCACTGCAAAGCACTGCTATTTCCTCTTATGAATGGGGCCATGGCTGCTGTTTTGTGTTGAGCTTGCTTCTACCTGTATATCCTTTGTGGCTTCATTAACAGCAAAGGGCATTCCTACTGAATCACACCCGAGACAAGATAGGTAGAGAACTACCTAACTACCCTGAATTTAGGTATCCCAGCAGGGGTCTGGTGTTAGCCATGTGTTGAGAGCTGCTGCTATGCCCAAAACAAGATGGTAACACATCTGGGTATGCACTGAGGCAGAACTTTAGGCACGAGACCTTCACTGATGAAAAGGTAGGTGCCTTAATGGTTAGGGAAAGGTTTTGAGTGTCTGGGGGTGAGCAACTGAATGCCTGAATGCCTAGGTCCTATTTTTTAGAGATTCAAGTCTTCCTGTGGAGCTGGGCCTTAGAGTGATGATTTCCAACCGGGGTACCCCAGCACCCTGAGCATTGGCGATGTGTAGGGGATGCACATGGGTGCATGTGCACCCCATGAGATTGGCTGTACAGCCCCTGGAAGTCCAGCCATGAAACCAGAAGTGCTGATGGAAGTGCATTTCCAGTTTCGCTGCTGACTCAGTGATGCCCCTCACCCCCAGTCGGCGATCTGGTGTCCACCTCAGACTTGGGAGGCACCAGTTGCCCATAACCCTGAGATCCTTTCATGGGTGCCGCGGGGTAACATGCAACATTAGCACTGACCACATCAACACGAGATGCTACGTTGCTGTAGTGATGAGGTACGGTGCTGTAGCTTGCCACTATGGCGATATAGTGTTGGGAGGCACAAACTGTGACGCTGCCACTATTGCACAGTAGCAATGAGCTAGGCACCCCTAACCTTTCCCTAACCATTAAGGCTTATTGCTACTGTGCAGCAGGGTCAGAAATGACCCATGCAGTGCCAGGACTACCCTGTACTGGTGATTACAGTGCAGTCATTTAGCATTTGCTAAAGCAAGTACTAAATGCCTGCACAATAACAACCTGCTGTGAGGTAGGCGAGCACCATTTCAGGAGATAAACCCAAAGGTTTCAAATAGAAAAATACACAGTCTTTCATAGATTCATAGATATAGGGTCGGAAGGGACCTTGTAGATCTTCTAGTCCGACACCCTGCCCTGGGCAGGAGAGAAAACTGGGCTCAAATGACCCCAGCCAGGTAAACGTTGAGCCTCCTCTTAAAGACCCCCAGGGTAGGAGCCATCACCACTTCTCTTGGAAGTTGGTTCCAGATCCAAGCTGCCCTGACTGTGAAGTAGTCTCTCCTGATGTCTAGTCTAAACCTACTCTCTAGCAACTTATGGCCGTTATTCCTTGTTACTCCAGGAGGCACTCAGGGGAACAAGGTCTCTCCCAAACCCCGCTGGTCCCCCCTAGTAAATTTATAGATGGCCACCAGGTCCCCCCTCAGCCTTCTCTTGTGAAGGTTGAACAGGTTAAGGTCCTGTAGCGTCTCCTCATAGGGTCTGCCCTGCTGTCCCCGGATGCGAGTGGCCCTCCTTTGGACCCTCTCTATGCTGTCCACATCCCTCTTGAAGTGTGGCACCCAGAACTGGATGCAGTACTCCAGCTGCGGCCTGACCAGTGTCGCATAGAGGGGGAGGATCACCTCCTTGGCCCTGCTTGTGATGCATCTGCGGATGCAGGACAAGGTACGTTTAGCCCTACTGACCGTGTTCTCTCATGTCGGCCCATGTTCATCTTGGAGTCAATAATGACTCCAAGATCTCTTTCTCCCACCGTGCTTTCGAAAGGGGAGTTCCCCAGCCTACAGGTATGCTGCTGGTTCCTACTGCCCAAGTGCAGCACCCTGGACTTGTCAGCATTGAATCCCATCCTATTTTCATTTGCCCACCCCTGTAAAGTGTCCAGGTCCTGTTGTAATCTGTCCTTCCCTTCTAGTGTGCCCACCTAACCCCAAAGCTTGGTGTTGTCTGCCAATTTAAACAGGCTGCTCTTCACCCCATCATCCAAGTCGCTAATAAAGAAATTGAACAGTGCGGGCCCAAGGACTGAGCCCTGGGGGACTCCACTGCCCACTTCCTTCCAGGTTGAAAATGACCCATCCACCACCACTCTCTGAGTGCTACCCCTCAGCCAATTTGCAATCCATCTGACCGTGTAGGCATCAGTGCCACAGTCACCTAGCTTTTTAATGAGAATGGGGTGGGAGACAGTGTCGAAGGCTTTCCTGAAGTCCAGAAAGACTGCATCCACCACGACACCTTCATCCAATGATTTTGTGACCTGATCGTAGAAGGCAATCAAGCTGGTCTGACAGGACCTGCCCCTAATGAAACCATGCTGGTTGAGCATCATCCCTGATGCTGGTCCATCACAGATGTGCTCCTTGATAATTTTCTCAAAGAGCTTCCCCAGGATTGAAGTAAGACTAACAGGCCTATAGTTGCCCAGGTCCTCCCTCTTCCCTTTTTTAAAGATGGGGACCACATTGGCCCTCATGCAGTCGTCTGGTACCTGGCCAGAGCACCACGAGTGCTCGTAAAGCCGTGCCAGGGGCCCCGCGATAACTCCTGCCGATTCCCTCAACACCCTGGGGTGGAGAGCATCTGGACCTGCTGATTTGAACACGTCCAGCCCCTCCAGAAGCTCTCTAACCCAGTCCTCCCTGACCCTAGGCTTTCTCCCATGTCTGTCCTGAATCTCGGTAGGGGTGTCCTGGTCCTTGCACAAGAAAATAGAGACAAAGAAACTCTTAAAGAAGTCTGCTTTCTCCTCTGATGTGACCACCAGAAACAACTGGTGCTTTGCACTAGAAACAACTCCTCGGTTACTTTTCTGGGGCCAGATGAAGAGCAAAAAAACCAAGAGCTGGCAGTTGCCTGAAAAGGCTAAGAACTGCTGGGTAGAGGGCTGGAAGGGAAGCAGAAGAACCAGTGGCTCTCCACTGCCATAGCACCAGGCCAAGAAAAGTGGAAACCCTGGAGGAGGGTGCGTAGAGGCTGTACTGTCAGTGCCTAAGCCGGGATAGCACAGAACGCAGGCCCGGTGTTCAAACAATTGAGCCCCTCCTGCGCATGCTCCCAGCACCCCCTGCCAGGCTCTGACAGCCCGTAGAGCATTGCAATGACCAGCTGCAGAAAAGCGGGGACTGGGCGGGGACAGATGGGCGACAGGCAGGCGAGGGAACCAATCGCGGCGGCGGCGGCTTGCTGTCACAGGGGCGGTACTGGCCCAATAGGGGAGGGGGGTGGGAATCGAACGTTGTGTGGGCGGGGCGCGTTCTAGAACACGCCGGGGGCCGCGGGCGCGGAGGATGGCGGACGAGACCAGCAGGGCGCAGGCGGCGCGTCCCGGCGGCGACCCCATCTTCGGCAAGATCATCCGCAAGGAGATCCCCGCCAACGTCATCTTCGAGGACGAGCAGGTGGGCGGCGCTGCCGAGGGGGGCTCCGCGGTGGTGCTGCGGCACGAGCTGGGCCCCTCCGTCTCCTAGAGCCATCGGAAATGAGGGCTGGGGGGGACCTCAGGCGGTCACATCTAGTCCAGCCCCTGCTTAGAGCGGAACCAGCCCCAACTAGTTCCCCCCGGCCCCGTCGGACTGATTCTGTATTAAAGCACAAGTTGAGCTGTTCTGCTGGGGCTCCAGAAAGCGTTTCCTGGAGAAAGTGCCCACTGCACTAGCGCTGTCTGGCACCTGCCTTTAGCCACCCTTGGGTTGGAGTGGCCCAGCTTTCACCCCCTTAGCAGAGGCCTGCTTTACTCTGCTTAGTCTTAACTGGCCCATCCCAGCTCGTCCTCCCTTCCAGCACCTGCTCCCTGCCCCTGTGTGCTACCAGAGGTTGGGCAAAATGAACCTGGGGCCTGAGCCAGGAAATGGCAGTGCTTGTGCTTAGTGAGGTGGAGGTTTGGGTCTCAGCTGCATACTGCAGGCCAGGAATGCTGCTGTTAAGGCGGTGAAGTGTTTCTGCTTCTGGTTTGCGTGTCATCTGGCTACAGGAGAGTGAAGTCTTAATTGGGCCCTTGTCTGGTTGCTCCAGATGTTGGCAGCATGCCCGCACATCTCTCGGGGGGTTTATACACATGCTCCAGAGGGTGTGTGTTGGGGGGGGGGGGGGAGTTTAATTAG